CGCCCCGCGACCAGCTTGCACAGAGGGGTCCCTCTCCGCTGGGGCTCCCAGTGACCGCCAGCAGCAGTATCCGCGCCCCAGGTGAGGACAGGGACTTCACGGCTGAGCTGAGGCGACCAGCTTGCTCGCTAGCCAGCCGCTGCGGCCGCGGGAGCTCAGGAAGCAGCATCCGCCTTCTCTCCTGGTGCTTTTGCAATAAACAGCTATCGGGTTTTTAGGCAAGTTGTGAACTCTGAGGACAAGACTAGAAATGTCTCTTGTCCCCACGCCAGAGTGAGGCCGTGCGTGGGGCGGCTGCTTCGTAATGACCGGCCGAAGAAAGTGCAGTGACCCTGGGCCCCCGACTCCACCCGGACCCCACCCTGAGGCCTGACTGCTGCCAGCTTGCCTCCACGCTTGGCTGCCCCTCCCTCGCCACTGGGCCTGCGTCCCACCCCCAGGAGAGAAGCGGCCTCTGTCCAGGCCCCCATCTGTCTCTGGAGCCCAGGAGCTGGACCTCGGGACCCCAGAGTGGGGAAATCCTGCTTTTGCTGGCCAGGACTGCCTCTCCCCCCGGAGAGGAACACATGTGGCTCCTGCCTGCAGCTCAAGGTCACCCCACTGGTTTCCTTCCTGAGGAGGGCACGAGGCCCCCGAAGCCACATAGTTGGTGTAATCATTACCGACTGCCCAGTGGCCTCTGCGCCCTCACTCCCCTCCCCCACAGCGGCAGAGGGTTTTTCCACTCAGCTTCCCGCTGGACCCACTCAGGCCCCCGCTGGCTGCGGGGCTGAGGTCCCCACCCTCAGCCTGCAGCTCGAGATGCTTCTCGGTTGGCCTCTGGGGCCCACGGGCCTGCTCACCTGCTCACACGCCAGGTGCTGATGTCAACCTCCCACACCATGCATACGACACCACGATGCTGGCCCTGGCCAGTGCTCTCCATCTGCAATGTTCTTTCCTTCCTAACCCAGCTGGCAATCTTCTAATCAACCTTTGGATCCCAACTTAAGAGCAGAACTTGGTAAATGTCTTTTTCCGGTAGAGGCCAAGCAGACATAGTTGAGGCTTTGTGGGCCCGTCACCACTACTCGGCTCTGCCTTTGCAGGAAGCACTCACCTGTCAGCGAAGAGCAGGGTGTGACCCGTAACTCCGGTCTGCAAGGCCAGGTGCGGCAGTTTGCCACCGTGGCTGCAGCCCCTCACACAGCTCCCACTGAGCGCAGTTAACAGGCCCTCTCGAATGTCGCCTCTAGCCCACACTGTCATCACGCAAATCCCGATTCTGATGACCCCACAGTTGTGTAGGTGACACTGCAGTCGCGTCCTCGCCTCTCACGGGTCTCTGCGGCTGCCCTCTCATGGGTCTCCTGGTCCCAGCCCGGCCCCTCCAGTCTGCTCATACAGAGCAGGCATAATCTGTTCAAATGTAAATCGGATTAGGTGGTTTCTCTGCTTAGAAACCTTCCATGGCTCCTTATTACCAGAGAGAAAAGACAGTCTTCAGGCGGTCTCTGCTGTCTACACCAGCTCCCCCGTCATTTGGACTGCCCGCCTCTCGCCCACCGCCTCTCTCCCACCGCCTCTCTCCCACTCACTTTCTTTCCTTCTTTTTTAAGGTTTTATTTATTCATGCATACAAGAGCTGGGGTACAGGCCAAATGTGTGGGGGGTGAGTGGCTTCACCAGAGACAGAGTGGGAAGCAGAACAGGCAGATGGACTGAAATCCACTGCAGAGGGGAGCAGCGGGGGGACAGGAGAGGTCTGCTGCGCCCTGTGGGTCACTTCGCTGGCGGGGGTCAAACTCAAGTGCTGCAGCGGCTGTGGACAGCTCCACAGTGCTGCGCTGTAACCCGCTGGGCCAATGGGGAGGCTCCTCATACTCACTCCTCACTCTACTCCAGTCACAACAGCCTCCTTGTTTTTCCTGAAACCAGCCAGGGAGACTCCCGCCTCAGGGCTTTTGCCCTTTCTGCCACCTGGAACACTCTTTCCCAGGTTACCTCATGACTCACTTCCTTGCCTCCCTCAGGTCTTTATTTCAACCTCTCCCTTCTCAGGGAGGCCTCCCCCGCCACTCTGTTGAAAGTGCAGCCCTCCCTCGTCTCTCTGCCATAGCACTTGCCACCCTCTACCACACGACATCCGCCCCGCCCAACTTTTAATTATAAAGATGCTCAGACGTAGAGAAAGGGCAAGACTGGTGCAGTAGCACATTCACACACAGTCCGACTCAACACAGGAGGTGCCCGTGTCCCCTGAATGACGTGATACTTCAGCCAGAGACACTAGCGAAATGCCCTGTGCTTGACTCACTGTCTGTCCGTCTTTCTCTCTCATTTATGCTTACAGAACGGCCTGGGGTACGGGCCAGAGGTGCAGGAGCAGTGAGAGGATTCACCAGAGGCAATGGGAAGCAGAGCAGGCAGATCCACTGAAATCCACGGCTGAGGGGAGCAGTGGGGAGACAGGAGAGGGCTGCTGCGCCCTGTGGGTCAGATCTCTGGCCGGGGATTGTGCTGAGTGGCTGCGGACAGCTTCATAGTGCTGTGCTTAACACCCTGTGCCACCAGGGAGGCCTGTCTGTCTTTCCCTATTAGGCTGTGAGCCCCAGAGAACAAGGATTTGTGTCTGCTGTGGTTTCCTCATCCAAGAACATCACCTGGCATCTAGCAGCTGCTCCAGTACTTTAGCAGAGGAGATGACGACGAGACGGGTCCTGATTCTGGCTGTGCCTCTCAGTGACATGTGACTGGGGATCATTTCCTCTTGCAGAGCCGCGGTTTCTTTATCTGTCACATGTGGCGAGTACCACAGCGCTACTTTTCAGTTGCCAGAATCAGACAAGGGAAGAGTGTATGACGGCATGTTAGCAGAGCAGTTAGTTACACGCCATCTGACTCTTGAGGGAGGACAGCTGGCCTAGACTGACCCTCTGGAGTCTGGGCAAGTAGAAGACAGAGCTGCTCATGGATGTTTGCAGCTGCAGGACCCCAGGACCCCAGGACTCCTTAAGAGCTCTCTGCCTAGCACAGCCCCAGGGCAAAGTCCTGCAGAAAGCCACAGAGTGCATTCTCTGTGCTGACTTGCCCTGCCTTTCTGTCGCTCGAATGGCATGGTATAATCCCCTCTACTCCATCTCTTGCTTTATCTACTCATTTAACAGTTTTCACCAAAATTTCCTAGGGCCCTTGGGTTTTTTTAGGTTAAATTCTTCCCTTGAAATCTTTGAGTATTTCCAATGATTGATCCAGCTTCAATTTGGCCTCTTCTGCACTTCAGGTGTAGTTGTGTGTCTGTGTTGCCAAATTCAACACACTCATCCTGTCGAATCTGTGTTTTCTTCAGTCAGACTGCTCAGCAGTGAGTGGAACACATGACCTGTAAGCTCCCCGATAGCCATGGTTTTAATTTCAATTGGTTGGGATGTGGAGGGCAGGATATATCCGTTGCGAATTCTCTCGATCCCTTCCTCTCAGTTCCATGCTGAAACTCTTGCAGCAAAATTTTAGTCTCAGTTTAAGGGAAGTTTCCTCATCTATAAAATGTGGATGAGAGTGTTTTGTCCCAACTTCAATGAGTGGCCGCAAGAAAGAAAAACGGAGGCAGAAAGGCTGAGCTAGCAGAGTTTATTGCTCCCGGACAGCAGCTGAGACAGAGCCCCTAGAGTGGGGTCCGCAGCTACTGCCAACTCAATAAGGGGGAAGGGTCTCCTATATAGGTCCTAAGCTCAGATTTCAAAGGGGTGACTCATGGCTGTGTCCTTAATGTGAGGCCCAGTTCTTTATCACCTTCAGCTAGTCCCATCCCTGATGCAAGGCCCAGTTAATTGGATGCAAGGCCTAATTTATTACTGCCCTTATCCAGTCCCTCAGTAAATCCCCGCACTTGGTCACTCCCAACAGAGAGTAACTAGATAAGGAAAATAAAAAGAAAAGAAAGAGGAACTACAAACCCAAAATGATGGATTCAAAATTATTTTGGAACAGGTAAAGCTTTTGCAGATACTAGTTACTATGGTTCATTTTAGTAACCTGTCTAGATTCTTCACTAGACCTTGCTCTTGTGTGGTTGACACTAAGAACTTAGAGACAGAAGGGAACACTCTTCTTTTCACAGGAATAACAGCAGCAGCTACATTTTCCACAAGACCAGAAAAAGCAATTTGCAGGATTCAGGTAGACCAAGGGTTGAGAGACCGTTAGAAGAAAAGTCCAAGCTGCCAGGTGAGCTGGAGAAGGAGCAGGGTCAGCTCAGTAAGCAGATGTATGCTCACAAGATCTTGCTTCTTTCCAGAGTATCTCATTCTCCACAGCAATGGCAGTTGTCATTTATTGAAACTCCATTGTCTTTTATTGAATGCAGACACAGCAAGTGAGTGGAGAGGGGGTGACTTATTTCTAATACTCATTAACAACTCTGGGATGAGTTCAGACCAAGTCGTTTGCTCAAGTTTCTACTAAAAAAGTGCTAAGATATCTCCTAAGATAAGCTCAGGTCTTCCAAATGCCAAGGAATACGTCACTTTAACGTAACTGTATTTACTGTTTTTCATTTAAACTAAAAAAGATTGGTGGTGTAGCTGACATTGAAATTTAGCTGCGTGTCCCTAATTTTTTTTTCTTTCTGAATGTGGCAAAGCTAAGTTGGAAGTTTCCGGCACGATCGTCCCTGCAGGGCCCACGTCTTTGCTGGCTTTTGGTTTTACGAGCCGTCGTTAACACCAGGTTCAGACTTAGGGTCTCTAACCGACCGTTTTAATAGGGCGGCGGGGGTCAGATTCTGGCCCCTCACCAACATGGCTGCCAAAAAGCAGCGCGCGGACCTTCCGCCCCGTACCCATGGCCCCGCCCCTCACCCAGGATTGGCTCCAGCGCTAAGCCCGGCCTCCCTCGGCAACAGAGGCCCTTCTTATTGGTCAGTTACAAAAGATGGCGGCGCCCGCTCCCGCCTTCCTCGCGCGCCGCTGGGGCGGGGAGGGGGTGGAGCCTCAGCGGCCCGAGGGCCTGGGCTTCGTTGATTGGGGAGGAGCGTGGTCGGGCGTCACGTGAGCCAGGATGCGTTTGTTTGCGGAAGTAAAGGGAAGTAGAAGTGCTGAGTAAGCCGAGGTGAGTGACGGCGGAGGGAGGCGGGGCCTCGGGGCCCCTTCCCAAACCTCTCCCACGGCCGCGCCCAGGGCCTAGTGGTCTCCATCGGACCCGCCTTGGGACCTTCGTCCTGGTCCCCGATTTGGGCACGTCCTCCATTGACCCTTTTGTGACCCCCGAGTGCCTCAGCGTCCGTTCTTCCAACCCGTGACCACCCTTGACGCATCCGAAAGTCATGTCCCCCGCCATCAGGAACCCCAGTTTCGATCCTGGGCCCTCTTCGGTCCCCAGGCTTCCCTGGGTGGCGCTCTGGCCCTGGCTTCCTCAGTCAACCCCTGTCCCCCCAACTCCCTCGGAGCCCCCAGCTGCACTGATGGTCGGGGCCTGCTCTCTAGATGCTCCCCACCTTTCTGTCTGTGTAGTCCCACTTGATCCCCACCTTCACCTGTTGTCTGCATTCCTTCACCGTGTCTCTCGTCTCCATCAGGCTGTTTCCCGTTCCTGACTCCCTGCTGCTCTTTCATGGGCTCCCTGTTTCAGTGGCTGCTCCCCAGCACGCTCCCACCTCCCCACCTGTCCCCCAGTATCCCCATACGTGCCCCCTGCCATGCGTCCACTTCCTGCGCCAGATGACCAGGCAGCTGGTGACAACAGTGTGACCCGTGTGCCGTGTGACTGGGTGAGGCAGACGTGGGTGTGGGCAGGGAGGGCCCTGCCCTCAGGATCTGTGACATTTTTTTAATGAACTACTCACATGACCCCAAACAAATACCTTCCCTCTCCTGGGCAGCTTTCCCTCACCTGCCCTCTTACCAGCCCAACAGGATGTTAGGCAGGTTTGGTTTGGCAAGGCGGACACTCCACCCTTGGGCTGAATGCAGTGTTTTTGTTATTGTCTCTGCCTTAAAATGTTCCTGGAGTTTGGAGGTTATTTTCTGTCCAAGTCTCAGTTTCCTCATCTGTGACAGGCACGTTGTATTTTCTGTCCTCACATGGCTGTGTGAATCAGGGGTGCAGGGACCCCAGAGGTTCTTAACTTTGGTGCAGGAATTCCTGCCTGAGTCAGAGAGGGAGAGTTAGAGGGGGAGATTTTACTGCAAGCAATAGTATACTCAGGACAGCGAGTGCAGCAGATTCTGGCGTCACCTGTGGGTCTGAGGCCGCCTCTGTCAATTTTTGCTTCCTTGAGGGGCAGGGCTCGTAAATGAGATCCCGAACAGGTTTTTGTTTTTGTTTTTTAAAATGTTTATGTATACAAGAGCTGGGGTACAGGCCAGAGGTGCGGGGGTGGGGGAGACCAGAGAGGATTCACCAGAGAAAAAGTAAGGAGCAGAACAGGCAGCTCTGTTGAAATCCACTGCTGAGGGGAACAGCGGGAGAGACAGGGGAGGTCTGCTGGCCATTTGGGTCAGCTCCCTGACTGGGGATTGAACTCTTGCTGCTGGCAGTAGCTTCATAGTGCTGAGACTTCACCCCTTGTGCTACCAGGGAGCCTCCTGAACAGCTTTTGACCTGTTTTGTTACCCTGGACCCTAACATGCTGTGGGTGAAATAAGATGGAAGCGTTGCAGTCAGTGATGCCCCTGGTGTCCAGCGTGAGATACAGATCTGAACTGGGATGAGCTGGGTCACCTTGCTCTGGAAGACGCTTGGAGATTTGTTTTCGGAGTTACTGAGGGCCGGTGGGAGAGCCGCAGCTCCGGCCGTCTGCCCCACCCCAGTGTGGTTCCGTAGGAGTGCGTGGCTGCCTGTCGCGTTGAAGGCAGGAAAGGGGAAGCTCTGACACAAACAAGGACAGCCGGCCGGCCGTTGTCTTTGATTTGTCGTTGGCAGCCTTCACTGGCCACTGCTGAGTCAGCCTCCCTCATGTTACTCTGACCTCCTTCGTTCCTGGCCACAGAACAGGTGGCAGCGTCTGCCCGCCGTGCCGGAGGCTGCCCTTGGTGTGGCCGGTCATTCCCACTTGACTTGGGGGGAGCAGAGGTGCGGGTGGCCCCGGCTCTGCACTTGCTCAGGCTGGGGCCGGGATTCTGAATTCGGCCCACTGGAGCCCTGTGATGGGCCCTGGGCGAGGATCGCTGCTGTCCTGTCAGTGACCCGGGCACGTTTTCTCCCTCCCTGGGTTCCTTGCTGATTAGGTGACAGTATCCACAAAAGGACATTTCTGCCTCGCTCAGCAGAATGACATCATGGAGAGAGCGAGGAAGGAGGAGCTGCACTGCTCTGTGTGAGAGTGGCCGTGAGCGTGTGCGGGGTGTGTGGGAGGGCAAGGGGCCTCGGTGAAGGGGAGACCTTGTGTTCAGAGTTTCACTTTAGACGGGTGGCTCCCTGGGGGGACACTTGGGGCTCCCCGCCTCCTCCTCTTTGGTGCAGCCGCATTTTCCTGGTGGTCTCATCCAGCTCGGTGGCTGAAGCGCCGTCTCCACTCTGACAATCCTAAATCTATCTCCGCAGGCCCGTCCAGACCTTTCCTGGACAGCGGAGTTGCTTCCCCCGCCCCGAGCCTGTCCCTTCTGCCCACTGCACTTCAGAAAAGTGTGGGCCTAGGGCAGACCGCAGTACGGGGATCCCAGCCACGCCCCGTGTCGCTCAGGGCGGAGCAGGCCGGACCCGCTGGGTTCGCGGGGTACCTTGACACTTCACACAGAAAGCGCCCCCAGAGTCGATTCCCAGACGCATCCCGTCACCAAGGGACGGGACCACGTTTTTTCAGTTGCGGAGCAGAGCTGTGAGGGGCTGTGGTCTGTCCCACCCGTGAGGACACGTGGGAGGGGACAGCGGTGCCTCAGAGGTGTCGACCCTGGGGACTTCACTGGTTCTCACTCACTCACCACCCACTTGGCTGAGCCAAGAATGGGGCTAGGTGCTTAGATAAGCAAAGGGGCCGGGTGGGGGTGGGACCCCAAGGAGCAGCCACACCTCCCCACAGTTAGACCTGCCCCTGTGGGGACGCAGGGCAGGGCCGGGGGCTCTGAGGAGCAGGAGGCCTGTACTGGGCTGCGGGAGGGGCGAGGGCACAGTTCCTGGGGTCCTGCCCACTGAGTGTCTGGGTCCTCGCAGGTGTTCTCTCTCGGGTGCCTGCTCTGTGTACCGGACGGGGGCGATGTGGCTGGGGGTGCAGTGGTGAAAGGCCTCTCTGGGAGGTGACCGGGAGCCTGGGCTGGGGACCGGCAGAGCGGGAGTCTGTTGCCTCCTGCGCTGGCCACTGCGCTCCCCTCAGGCAGGGAGGGCAGACTGCAGGGCTAGCGCCCCTGCCCTCCGAAGGGCCGATGTGCAGAGACCCTGGCAGGCTCGGGGTCCAGGAAGCCCAGCCCCGTCCTCCCTGGAGGAGCAATCCCAGCGCCCAGAGTGGGGGTGGGGGGCGGGTCCAGACCTGGCAACTTGATCCTCCCTCTCCCGCCTGAGTCCTGCCAGGGGCCTTCAGGGGTTCATGGAGGAACCAGGATCTGGGGCTGAGCGGGTGTGAGACCGCCCACCTGCGCCCGCCCTCTGCTGCCCCGTCCAGCTGGCAGCCAAACGGGGGAGGGGAGCGCAGGGGTGGCGGGGGAGCGCCAGCCCGCCTGTGCTGCTGGGTCCCTGCACCCGCCCAGACTGTGGGCGGCTGTGCCCCGTGCTCCCCTGTCCGTCTGCTGGGGAGGGCTCTCCCCCATTCCCACCCCGAGTTCAGCACTGACTTTAGAGTCATCTCCTCCAGCCCTCTTCCCCCTCCCC